TAGCAAAAAAGGCTAAGTTCTCATGCTTTCACTCAGCTCTCTAATTACCAAAATTAAAGGTTAACACAGTAACACACTGCAGCCTCATAAAATTCAGTTTAACAGGCCACTAGAAAAAAAAATGTTCTGTAGTGGTTAAATATGCACACATCTATAGCCAGCAGAAAATCCTCCCATAATCTCAACTGCCAGTCTGTTTTCTTGGTGGTCACTTCAGAGGTGCAGAGGCTTAGATAAAGCAATAGTCTGATCCAATCAAGAAGCAAACAAGAACAACTGATGTGCTCAAGCTCACATAATATCATGGTTCATAAAATAATCTCCCAAGGCTAAGATCTGCAATCATCTTTAAAGTTATACCCAAGAGACAACCAAGTAACAGCACTCTGTAAAGTCATGACTGTATTAATAAGAAATCAATATTTATTTCTTCCCTCCTAGGATAATAGGTCTAAGAGACAATCACACTACCAAAGAATCCAAGAAACTGGAGTTCAAGAGTAACACAAAGTTGTATTCTCGTTTGGAAAGGGATAGATTTTCTCCAGCTGGCAGAGAGGTAGTTGCAGTATCTATCATTCGTTCTCTGCCATGGTTTTCCTTCTGCCAAGCAATGTCAGTCATGGTCTTTCCACAGTAAACATTACCAGTGTTATCTTCTCCAGATGTTTTCCCTTAAAGAGTATCTTAGTTAAACAATATGGACATATGAAATAAAACTTGAGCAATATATCATTGGGATACCAAAGACACTGTAAACCAAAACACCCCAAATAGTCCCCGACACTGCTTCATACAATACATTGTGTTCTGCAAGCCTTCTGGTTTGAAGGATAGACCAGACAATATATACTACGCAACACCACTATCAGACATTTCTAGAAGTAATTTCCCAGTAAAGAAGCTATCCTCATAGTTTTCAAACCCTGTATTAAAGTCAACACTACAGCATACTCTACTGTATCAAAGATACCTAATTTAAATATCAATGATACCTCCAAATACTCTCAAGAATAATGAACTACTATTAAACTACTTCAAGTTATAGAGCTCCTTTCACTACGGCTTCTCAAAGCCAAAACATATGTGGCTCAGTAAAGTAGATGACGAGTTTGACAGACAGCAGCGCTGAATTTTGAATGCATTTGTGATTGACAAAATAAGAAATAATATATTTAAAGATAGTTATCCTGATGTAAGAATCAATAAAAATAAAACTAAGAGTTCTATTATACGTATTTTTCTTGTCCTTATAAGTTATTTTCCTAATCCAAGAGGGAAAATAATAAAGATATTATGCTATTTGAGACAATGAATAATGAGACAACTAAATAAATATATCGTAGCAAAATATTAAAATATATTGCTCAGTAGGACTGACACTCTATTTGGAATATCAGCCTCTGTAACTAACAGTTCTAACAGTTTGTATTATGGCAGATGCAGAATCCTGTATCTGAAAACAACTGAGTCTGCAAGCACTATCAGGCCCAGGTTTGCACCCAGCCAGAACTCACAGGTTTGCAGAATTCTTTGGATCTGTCCTCTGATCAGTATGTTTTCAGCATCACTTGTATAATGGAAATTTACTCTAAAACCAGTTTTGTCCAGATGTTAACATTCAGGGATTAACATGTGGTTAGAACTCTAGCGTTATGTATAAGCATCAAATTGCCTTATCCTGCCTCCCGTTACTTCTTTCAGTGCTGATGCCCTCTGGAGAAGACTTCATCTTACTCTCTCTAGATTTGTTGCCCTCACAGTTAGAAAGCATAAATTTAATCCTGGATTTAGAATGTGCTTCAAAGACAGCGTTTTAGACAAGATCCTTTACTTTGATATAAAGCATAAATAAAATGGAAGACGATTGCATACATTACCTGTTATGGTGAAAAATGTCTGGGTTTGCAATATGCGTCAGTCAGTGTGAACTGTAAGCCCAGGTCTGAGATTTGACATGGACAGTTTTATGTTAGCAAATTCCATTTCAGCACTAGGATCAAACATGCCCCTTAAAGACTACAGTTCAAAGAGAGCTAGCAAGAATAAATTTGTAAACAACTAAAGAGCCAAATCTTGATTTCTGAACTCCCTGCTTTATTTTCTGGAAACTTGGAATTTAATCAGAGAACCCTAAGGTCTTCAGAAACAGAAATGAAGAACCTAATTAGATGTGAAGCAAACCAGCTAACTAGTACTACATGGAGCACAGGAAAAGTTTAGCAATTTCTATTTTTAAAGGTAGCATTTAACATCCTCCAGATATTTTTGTCCTTTTAAGACTAAGATTGCTTTGGCCAACAAATGTTTAGGTAAACATAATTGTACAGAGCCCAGGAAAATAGAAATCTAAATCAAATCAGAGTATTTGTCCAGTATCCTTAATGCTATTGTCTGATAAACAGAAACCTCACACTGCCTTTTTGCACAATGGTTAGAAATTAAAATATTATGTGCATTCATTTAAGAAAATGTCACCCATGTCATTTGCAACCTTAGGCTATTTAAGATAAAGAGAAGATATTAGAAGTGTTGACTTTCTGTGTTTTCTAATCACAATGAATTATGGAAAGGGTAATCACAGTTCAAAGCCAGGATACTGCAGGTACCTGCCTTGATCACACTGTCAGGACCTACACGTGTCTTGACAAAGGTTCTCTTAAAGAAGTTGCAGTAATCAGTTAGGGGAACACTTTCAACATGTGAATTACAATATGTACAAATCTCATACTAACACACACAAAAGCAGTTCAAATAAAAACAAGCAGCTGCTTCAGCCACAGAGAAGTTGTACCAAGTTGTTCTCATATAAAATAGGTCACCTACTTTGTAAGTAGAGAAAAAGGCAGACAGAATTTGCATCTCTTTGTTTACAATAGCATATTTCAGTTTTCTAATTCTATGCCCTGTGGAAATACGGTTTTGACTTTTATATTAATCAGTGCAGCCAAAATATTCCCCTCCGTCAAACACTTCAAATATTTTGAAATAAAAAAGGCAGTTTAAGATTAATGTCTCTCAATTATATTCCAATTCTGCCTCCTTAGTTGTAAATTCAATCACATTTGTTAACCACAGGGTTCAAGCATTGCACTTGATAAATTAATCTCTGAGATGATTGAAGATGCAGTTGCTGGTCAGTGGAAAGATACGTAATGTATTTCCAGAATGCATTATTTTGAGGCAACACTTTGCATCCACACTGCTGAAGTTTTGTGCAGCTTTTTGAATTCCAGTGGACATTCACTCATAAAATACAATCTGCAAAAATATGTGGCTTCTTGATGCTCTTAAAACAGTTCCAGTTGCACATCAGTCCATCTGTAAGGATATTATTAGTTTAGCAATGTGAATGAACTATTCAGTGCCATGTTCAATTTTCTTTTTCAATAGGAAACACAAAAGTACATCCAGTCTCAATATTTCAAAGAGAAGCCTCTGAAAAATGCCCTCAAACTGTATTATGTCCTAACAGTACAGATGTAGCAAGAGTCTGAAACTTGACTCCATTTTCCTGAGGGGACAACAACAAGAACAATGAAAGAGCTTTACAGACATACGATGAAAATTATGCAAAATTCCAACCGAAGAGCCATACTAAAAAGTGTTGAGTGGCACAGCGCCCGCCAGGGACCACATGCCAACTGGAGCAGGATGCAGTCCAGATATTCAGCTTCCTTTGACAAGCAGCCAAGTGCCAAGAAATTTGGAGTAATGGCAAAATCAAGTTTTATGCCTTCCTTTTCTTGAATCAGCAGTAATTCCAAATGACTTTAATGCAAAAGAGGAGACAGAAGGTCTTGTGACTGCACCTCTTTATACTAATCAAAATCAACTTTAATTAGCAATCTCAACTAAATATATTTATATCATATGTCAAGAGCTGAGATCAATATTAGATGCATTTTGTTTCGCAAACAAAGCAACAAGTCTTTCTTTTGTATTGCAAGCTACATTTTGAAATGCAAATTACCAAAAACTTGAAAAAAGAAATTTATCATGGAAATGTCAAGAACACATTAGGTATTGCCAAACCTCTAGCAATATGCCAATAAAATCTCTAATCTTCACATGATCGGAGCCAGTATTTCAAAACTAGCCACAACAATAAATTCCTCTTGTTCTGAATTTGAAGTTGACCAAAAAACGCTGTGTCATGGTCCTGGTGAGTCACCAAGAAATACGTAGAGGTTAAATAGCTTTCCTACCTAGTTGTTTTGGAAGGATGTGTTTACAGTGAAACCAACCCTAACCTAGTTTCAAAGGCATATATTACAAGCTAGAAGTCATCTACCTCTTAGAAAACACCAAGAAACTGAGGCAACAATGCAGGACTTACTGAATTAAAAATAAGTGCATAGTCAAAAAGGTAGCAACACACATTTACTCAGGACTTTTCACTAAGTGTAATAATTTAAATACAGTTGACACTGAATGAGAAGAGAACCTGTCTGAGGAGGAAACACACACACACAAAATTACACCATGAATTATCAAAAGTTCTAATTACAGTTGAATGACTTTTTATTTTGTATTCAGCTGATGGGTTCATACAAAACAAGTAATTAAAGATTCATCATGCTGTATTTGGTAGCTTAAGTAAAATAATGTGTAGTTGATACATAGTTCCTAGTGGTCAGATATGTACACACTACATAAAGCTGTGCTACAGAGGTATCATTCCCATCTTTGATGGCACGTGACAATTCAGAGTCAAAAAACTATGAAAACATTCAGAAACAAACTTTTAACAATTACTTTGAACACTAAGATTTGGTTGTTCAGGGATTTTTTTCAGGCAAAATAATGAACATACATTATGTATATCTGTATACCTGCTAATCATGCATAACTGCTACATAAAAATTAAAGATATGAAAGTATAATAGACCCGTTTTGCATCAAGCTGAATCCTAGAAACATGCATAAAAAGACTCCTTTGCGTACAGTAGGAGTAGTTCCTATGATTTAAGAGGAAAATAAGGAGAAACATTACTTACATATTTGTCATCTGATCCACTGGCTATAAACCGTCCACAAGGAGACACTGCAATTCCACATGGATAGCAGCGGCTACTGTGCCCTTCAAAACGACGTTCACACCTTCAGAGAAATTTCAGTCTTATTAAAACCAGCGGAAAACTAGCTCCTTTACTGCCATTTTCATGAAACGCTGCTGAAGTGTCATCTATTTCTCTTAGTCTACAAACTTACCGGAGCAAATCCACCACTTAAGTTCTAAATATCTCCGCAGTAGGATTTTGTCAAAACTGAAAGTCATTAAAGAATATTAACAACTAAAAAGAAAATAAACACACAAAATTGCCACAGGTAAATGCCCAAAAACATACTTGGGCATTGTTTAGTTTACAAAGATCGAAGAATCATTCCTATTTAAAAATGAGAAGCTGCGATGCCTACCACTAAGTTACTGTTAGTTAGCCATCACAGCAGGGAAAGCCAAACTCCCCTGCATTAAAGGTAAGGTGCTGTGAAAGCCAGTCTGCCCTGTGACACTTCAGAAATCTCCCTTGAGTAATTTATAATACCAAATGAAAATCCAGTATGTGGAATCATAACATAGATAATTACTGTTTGCTTTTCTTATACCCAAATCTGGATATTTAATCTGTGCTACTCTATTTACATTCCTACTCCATGTACTAATTTATCTTGTAAATTCAAGAAAGACAATATCCAAATGACAATCAAACTGATAAGTCTAGCTATCTACCCTACAGCTGTAGATAACTTCTTACCTATCTGTGTTAATATAGTCTAAAGGAAAGAACGCATTTAAATTTAATACAAAGAATTAATTTCCTACTTTACATGTTAACATTGCAAGGCACTATTGTAGAGTGAGTTCTTGACAGCTGAGCACACTTGGAACATTTAAAAAGAATGTTTTTAATGAAATGAAGATTAATATCTAAAAAAAATCCATGGTTGTAAAGATAACCTGGTAGCCACTACAAAACTAAGGAAAAAAGTAGTGTTTAAGAGTTGCTTCTATGTTAAAAGACATTTTAATAAAAGTTTCAACCCCATCAGAATTATTGTTTACATGTGAATAACTCCTTTCAGAGCTTTATTTCTGTAGCCATGAGGTATTATTTCAAAAGAGGCATAATAAACTGTTTTCTTCTTTTGCCTTTATTATGAATGTTATCAACTTCACCATAATGCAGCTGTTACACATTCTTTTTTTTTATGCATGCTAGGTCCAGGAACAAATCTGGAAGAGTAAGATCTCCTGCCAACACCTGTGATACACAATTTTTCCTGGCCAGTGAAATCACAGTTGCTGTGTTAATGTGATTGACTGAACCCATATGCAGGAATCTCTAAATCTTTATACCACGTCGTTCTGTTTTAGACACACATGTATATGTAAGAATGCACTGAATACCAAGTTGATTTTGTTCACCCAGGTGAAACAGGCATACTTCAACAAAAACATCACTTTATGACTGATCCAATGGCTATCATGCAGTAAAACATAAAAAAAAGACACATCATTTTACAGAGTCTAACTTTGAACCTTCACAGATAGTACACATTAATTTCTGTATAACAAAACTACTGATACTAATGGACAATTTCAGTATACAGTAACTGGACCTTTCATCTCAGACTAGTTCTACACTAAAACTGTTGAAGAAAACACTACAGTTCAGAGAAGTAATTTCTAAAGACTGTCAATTACTGTGACTAAGGTGTAAAAGTATTCTTTAACTACAGTTTGCACATAGCTCTGCAAGAATATTCAGAGACTTTGACTAATCGATGGCCACATTCGGGTCATTGAATAACCTACTTCAATTCAAGCTTCCTGTTGACACTAAATGAGGATATTAGCTACCTCAGCCTCTTCTCAAATGCAGCAGTCTAACATATACAACCCCAAATTTTAGGCAGTTTATGACAAGCCACATATTTGATTTATACTTTCAAAAAACTTTTTTTTTTCTTGACGGTAATCTAAAAGAAAACATAAAGGGTAAGACACGCTTCTCACACCTCATTCTTCTCACAACACAATCATAATGATTGAGGTTGGAAGGCACCTCTGGAGGTCACCTTATCCAGCCCCCCTCCCCACCTAGACTGTTACTGAGGACCATGTCTGGACGAGTTTTGAATATCTCCAAGGTACAAAACTCAACAACCTCACTGGGCAACCTGTGCCAGTGCTCAGTCACTGGAAATGGTTTTCAGAATTAGTTGTTCCATCACCTTCCCAGGGACCAAAACGAAACTGACCAGTCCCTACTTCCATGGGATCTTCTTCTTGGCCTTTCTGAAGATAGGATTAACATCTACTTTCTTTCAGTCTTCAGATACCTCTCCTGACTACCGTGATCTTTCAGAGACAATTGAGAGTGGCCTCACAATGACAGCAGCCATCAATGAGCTGAAGGTTGGCTTTAAAGAAAACAGACTTAGCTCTTTTCAGCAGTGCCCAGTGACAGGACAAGAGGCAATGGAAAAAATTGAAATACAGGAGATTCAGTCTTATCAGGAAACACTTTATTACTGTGAGGGTGACTGAGCACTGGCACAGGTTACCCAAGAGAGATCACAGAATCTCTATCCTTAGAGATATTCAAGGGCCATCTGGATGCAACGGCAGACAACTAGCTGTAGGGAACCCTGCTTGAGCAGGGAAGTTAGACAATACCTCCAAAGGTACCTTCCAACCATCATCATTACATAATTCTGTGACTAAGCAGCAAAGGTATTATTGTAACTTTGGGCAATCCTTTCAAACTATTTAGGCAGAAATAAAAACAAAGCATGACGTGTTGCACCTGTCAGCTGTTCCCCTTTGTGGTCTGATTTGACATTGCAAGATTTTGCCCTCAGGCTCCCACCAAATATTCACTGCATACAGTAGATCTCTCCCAGAACTTAGCCTCAATCATGTTTTTTTATTGTCTCTGCCAGTCTCAGTTGCACTGTTTGTGAACCAGAGTACCACCCCAAGAGAAAGTTCTTGTCAGTGTCGCTGCTCACTGTCACATGTGGAAAACTTTCATAGAAATGTTTGAAGGAAAAGTTTCTTTTTAATCTTATACTTGTACCATTCAAGGGCATCCCACGAAAGAAATTTCCTCATAAGAAAAATAAACAAAATTCATATATCCTCTGTCCCTCCTGAATATGCCTTCAGGATGACCATTAAGTAGAGCTCTGGCCAAACAGGACTAGTCCTCAGTGTTTAAGACCTTGGTCTCAAGGCCTGTAAAAGCTAACTTTCTCAATGAGGTGTTTCTTCTTCACAGAATGGTCGCCTAATAAATCACTGCAAACAACTTCTTTTCACAGGAATCTGACTCCTCCACATTTCTGACCAATAACTCAATTACTCCACCTAGAAATAGATGCATAAGAACTAACAGGATTCCAGTGCTTTCACTGATCATTTCTCTGCTATACTACAGCAACATAAAACAATGTCTGGGTGACAGAACAGTGTCACTTTTCCTTGTGCTAGTATGGTCGTAGTAATAACTAACATCCTGGATTCTATTTTCTTAATTGTTTTACTGTTCAACTTTTCCATTACAATCAGGATGTAAGTATTACAACTACAGCCCCACCTCCTCAAAACCCCGCTTTAAAAAGGCATTTAAAAAATTGATTCCAATTAAACTTTCCACAGAATCAAGCAGAAACTTTGTTATGCAATTAACTTCAGATATCTCCAGACAATGGAAAAAAGTGGATAAAATATCTCAGAATAAATAGATAGATATTCTGCATATAATTTTAGCTTATTCTAGGAGTTCTCATTTCAACCTTCTTTTTTTTTTTTCCCCTGTTATTTTTTAAGTAGCAACAGGTGGTGATTGAACTGATTTTGGATTTTGTAAGCTTTACATAGCCAACTGGCATGATGTCCAGCCTCCTAAGAATGCTTCTCTGGTTAAAGCTTTTCAGGGGTTACCATGACAAACATGTGGTAATTGCATGGGACAGCAAACAGCCAAGTTTTCCCTATGTTCTCCATTGTATAGCTCCATTCCACATTCCAAAATATGTATCTTTTTATGTTGCAAACAAGTTGTAGAATATTAGAAAAAAAAAAATGTTTTCTGTCTTTTTAAGAAAAAGATACTGGAATGGTGTAGACTTTATAAAATACTCTCACAAATAAGTCTATTTCATTCTACTTGCTGCATTAAAAACCATAACTTGACAGCAAACCAAATTTTTTTTTCAACCAGTTTTCCTTGTATTCTACTGCTTCGTCTTAGTGTTCTGGTAATTGTTCATTGACCATTCAGTACTAAAAGATCCACTGAGGCTCTATGAAATCCAAGTAGAACTTTACAGCTGTAGAAGCTTTGTGAAACGTACATGTTTAATTTTAAACACACAGCAACCTTTCACGTAGGAGCTCAGCATGTTTTCGCCAATGGCATGCATCAGGTACTGCATGTTCTCCACCCTATATACTTTCATGCATCCCCAGTTCCAAAATTGGAGGAACTCCAGCCACTACTTTCTCCCTTTTTACCCTCAGAATCCACATAACAAGACTGAAAGCTCCAGGAAAAAAAAAAGAGATGACAAATCATGGGATCCTCATGTTCAGAAGAGACCAAGAAGTAATCAAATTCTGAGTATGTATATATGCATATCTAAGGATGATGTCAAGCAGTTAGTTCACAGTGGAGACACAAACTGGAAAGTATCTGAAAATTTAAGGGCCACTCACTCAAACTGCATGTCTGACCCTATGGCTCTCAAAGGGTAATTCTTAGAAAACGTATGAGATAAGCTCCATGCGGCTGCAGGAATTCTACTAAAATATGTGGCCAGGGAAGTTTATGATCTAGTTGCACAAGATGATAATGCTAGTTGGAGATTTTACCTTAATGCCTGAAACCATCTATATATGACTGGCAAATCTTCTCAGAGTCTGAGAGAGGGTAAAATTGATTTTCCCTGGGATCATGCATCAAAGCACTATCATGCATCTAAGTTTCTGCAGAAGAAATTCACTATGTCCAAGTAGCCCAATGTTTTTTAGGTATCTTTCCTGTGGCCCAGTAAGCTGCCTTTTTTGCAGAAAGAGATGAGGAATGGTTATT